GTGGGCTGGGAGTTGGAGGCAAAGCTGAAGCCCAAGCCTGAGGTGTTTTCAACCAGATCCTAGAGGCTGGCACTTTGAACTTGGACTTAAAGCCTCCAAATTGTAAGAATAAACTCCTATTTGTTAAGTCCATTCCATTTGTGGTATATTTCTGTCAGAGCAGCACTAGGTAACCAGAACAGGACATATGACACCTGTTAACTTATTTATCAAAGATAAAAATTGCACATATAAGATTTCCCTTTCACCATTTACATTTAGAAATTAATGTTTCATTTGTTTTTAAATACATCAGTGCTGTGGAGGTCATGCAAGAAACCAATTTAATTCTTTTCGCATTATCTCTGAAATTTCCCTTAATACTGAAAATATTTTCCTTAAGGTTTTGTAGTGGAAACAAGACTTCAGGTCACACATTTTAGTGGCTGAGGTTCTAAAAGCTGTGTGGTCAAGTCAGATGATGAAACTGCCAGGTTTTATTGTTTTCATACTGATCTGGAGTGGGAGTTACAGTAAAAACCTCCAAAGACATAAAATACAGAAAATTTAGAGCCACGATTTCCTTTCAGCCGTGGTATTTATGGGGGGTCCAGCAGTCAAGGAAAGTTTTATTCATTTCACTTAACAGCATTTACTCTCTCTCAGTTTTACCTTTTGTGATCAGCAAGGCAGTTAGAAAATAATCTTGGCTACAGTCTCAGGGCATTTTCCTCCTGCCCTCTCTCTCATTGCCTGTTGGTTCTTTTTTCCAATTATGGTGTCATTAAATTCAGGAAACACTTACTCTTGGCTCCCACCATGGAAATTATGGAAAGATGTATTGAAAGCACTCCATCTTGCTCCCCAATCATGGTGGGTTTAGCATTTAAAAGGAAATATTATAAGCATATTCCAGAAGACTGAAAAAGTCCTCTATGTTTACTTTCTAGCAAAAAAAACCAGGGTATGATGTGCTATAATCAGAAGATTTTTGTACTTTATAAAACAAAATATGTATAGATTATGAGTTTAAATAAAAACTATAAAACTCAGATCCCTACAGAAAGTACTGATAGAGTTGAATTTTGTTAGAATGAGTCATGATAACTGAACTTAAATATGAGAATAATGCATAATAAAATTACTTTTGAAAATTAATATTTTGATTTTAAGCGATATAGTAAGGACTAACATTTCCAGAAATAAAATTATATGCTGTATTTGTATAAATATATACTTATTCATACACACACTTTCACACACACACACATGCATACAAGAGACACACATGCAACATACATATCATGTAGATGACCTTGAAAAAGGCTTTAACCCCTTTGTGACTCAATTTCCTAATCTATAAAATGAGACTAATTCTAGGATTGTGAGTATGAAAGGAGTTCACATATGTTAAAAATTTAGAACATGGTGGGAAAACTTTAGTTTTTTTTAGTAAAGTGCCAGGTGCTAAATGGTTTACATTTTGCAGTTTTTGTCATATATTCTTCTTGGCTTTTCTAGTTTATCTGTTTCTTGTTTTTCAAAACTGAAAATGTAAAAACCATTCTTAGCTACTTTGGCCAGATGAAAAGTTGGCCACCACTTAGAAGAAAGCTTTGTACTTACTAAGTGCTAGATAAGTGCTAGTTATTAGTATTGAATCTAAATTCATAGCCAAGTAACTGGAAGTAACAGGCATTAAATAAATATTTGTTGTGGGAATAAATTCGGTCCCTGGTGGTTCAAACAGTTAGTGGGCTTGGCTACTAACTGAAAGACTGGAGGCTTGAGTCCACCCAGAGGTGCTCAGAACAAAGATAAAGTGGTCTACTTCTAAAAATCAGCCATTGAAAACCCTATCCAGCACAGTTCCACTCTGACATACATAGGATCACCATGGGTAGAAATTGAATCTATGGCCACTGGTATTGGTGGAAATAATTATAACATATAAAAAGAAATGCACTGCTGTTGAGTTGGATCCAATTCATAGAGACTCTTCCTTGTGTTTCTGAGGTGGTATCACTACAGAAGTAGATTGCCCAATCTTCCTTCTGAGGAATGGCTGATGGGTTTGAACAGCCAGCCTCTGGTTTGCAGTCAAGTGTCTTAGGCACTACGCCCCAGAGCTCCCATAACATCTAAGCAATTTGTGAAGGACTTCTAAAATTTCAAAATGATAGTTCATGAATGGAAAGGGCCAAAAAAAAAAAAAAAAAAGGAGGAAATTATCAGTATTTCCATAGCCCATAATTTAAGTAATGAAAAAGACATATTTGATAAGCAAATATTTGACTATCTTTCTGGTTAGCTTTAGAAATTCTGGAGATGAAACATAACTATTAACTCTATTTAAAACAAATGGTCATTAATTTTATGAAAATGAAAAGATCTATCTGGTAATTTCAGGTGGAAGTAATGAGTATTTATTTGAACCATAAACATTAAGAACTGAAAGTAATTTATGGTGAGATCGGAATGCTTTTTGTGGGCACTTACCATGTTACAAAATAAAAAGCAATGGAAATGGTACTTGTTTTCTGGCCTATGCACTTCACTAAGCACAATTAAAATAACCCTTATATTTCTAAAGAAAAGGAAAGCACTTTAGAACATTATTCATTTGCATGTTGCTTCCTGCAACAGTCTAAATAGATATCCACCTAAGAACCATCTTGTCTGACACATATACACACATATTCTATAGATACACTATTTACCTACATTCATACACAATCTACACACACACAGAATACTTCCAGTCTGATACACACACTCACATATACACACACATACAACTTGTTTTGAGAAATTATATTTACTTCTATCTTTTTACTTATATTTCCTTATCTTACACTTGTCACTAGAAAGCAAATTAAATCTTTAATCATAACTTCCCTACACAATTATTATATAGTAAGAAGAAAACAATTAAAAAGGTTTCCTACTTTTGTATAGAGTAGACCTTGTTTTAGGAAGGAGATGTATTATTCGTGGGAGGAATTATTCATAGAATACATAACTAAACACCCTGAGGTTTTTATGTATGGCAGTAATTAAGTGAATTCAAGAAGGAGAACAGACTTTGTTTTCTTAGCAATAAAAGCTTCATTTGGAATGAACATTATTCTAGTTACAGGAGAAATATAGATTGTTTTTAACCTTAGTCACATTAGAAAGCCTAACATGCTACTAACAGGTTAGCTTGTAAAAATGAAAACTGCCATTTTCCTCATTTATTGATATACTTATCACCTTTGATGTTATAATATTTAATGAAAGAACTACATAGACTATAGCTGATTGCTTTTGCATTAGTATTGCAACTCTTTATTGTGTTTTTAATGGAAAAGGTTTTAGTAAGATATGCAAAAATATGAAGAATTTTACCCTGCAGGAGATTATGGCAAAGGGGCTTAACTTAATAGTGCACTAATAAGTCAGCTCTCTGCATTCAAAGATTTAAACTTTTGCTCTACCATCTTCAGTTGGATTTGGATTTCACATCACAGCAGTGTATCTGCAGTTCTTAAATCTTAATTAGCCGAGCAAGCACACCAGCCTTTGGGTAAGAAGGAACACTGAAAAGTGAGCTCATACATCACACATTGTGTAATTCAGGAAGGGATAGAGAAGAAAATTATAGGTCCTGCTGCTTTTTCATCTCTGACTAGTAAACTAGTTTCCATCAGTGTTTGCAGAACTATCACATACACTCTAACACACAGAGCAAAATCTGTGAAAATGGTGACACTCTTGGAGCAAAAATAAATTAAGAAGGACTGCAGTAAAATATCTTCCAGGATGAAAGATGCCATCCAAGGAAATGTAGACATGTATGAGTTTCTGAGAAGACCTAAATGAAATTCAAAGACCAGACTTAAATCTGTAGTTGCTGTTGTCAGCTGCCATGGCATTGGCCCTAGAATCATGGCAAAACCATGTATAATGGGATCGAACTACTGTGACCTATGGAGTTTTCATTGGCTGGTTTTCTGAAGTAAATTGCCAGCCCTTTCTTTCTTGTCTGTTTAGGTCTGGCAGCTCTGCTGAAACCTATTTAGAATCACATCAATGTACAAGCTTCCACTGACAGATCTGTGACGACTTTGCTTGAGGTCAGTGACCGGGGAACGAAGCTGGGCTTCCTGCATGGAAGGTGACAATGCTATTACTAAACCACCACTGTTCTCTAAATTTGTAGTAGGTATGTCTTAATTGTCATATAAGAAGCCTTTTGTGTCAAAGAATGATACCTAATGGGGGAGAAAGATTGAAATTTTACTCTTCTTCATATTCATTCTGCAGTCATTTGGGGCTGGATTTCTTCCAACAAAATTTGATGAATTAAAGTCCTTGGAAATAAGTTGTGCATCAGTCCTGGGATCACAATAAAAGCATACTGATTTGGTGAAGAAGGCAAGAAGAAGCCAAAGGAGTAAACAGTAAAAATAACTGTATTTCTTGCCAGAGGAGAAATTATTGAATTTAGCACTATAAAATGCATAAATGTATAGCTTATCTCACTATACATTTTGTCCACTTCAAAAATAATATATTTTACAACCTAAGAGAGGCTTATTTTGAAATATTTTGAAGACTTTTGCTTATTTTCATCAGTGAATGATTTTACAGAATGAAATACCAAGAAGTGTTTAAAGATTGCATTCACTTTGTATGTTGCTCCTGATATACAAAATATATCATTTCTAAAAGTCAAGGTTTTTTATGTAATAGACTTGGTTTCCAAGTAGAGTGAACTTTTCATGAAAGCTGTGGATATAATTGAGTTTTCTTTCATGTCTTTAAAGCTCTTTAAAATTCATGAGTTTTCTTATCATTTTTGCAGCAAACCAAAAGTACTTCCCAATCCTTTTTGAATTTTGTGTTTAATATTAACATATTTTAAATGTTACAGAAATAGATGGAGTGGAATAAATCTTACATAAGGGGTATTTGATATTTGATGCATTTTAATATTACAAATCGGTCAGTTATTCCTACTAAATTGGTTCCATTACCTGTCACAGAGCTGTCTAGATTGTCCATACTGGATCCGGGCGTCTGCTCTAGTGCTCTCAGGGGCCTGGGGATTTCTAAAGCTTCCTCTTCATCATCAACATCATCATCTGGAACATCTGTTTCCAAATCGGAAATCAGGGCTCCGGACACATAACCTAATGGTGGAACTGGGGGCTGCGGAGGTTGATTATTGCTTGGAATGTGCCTAGAATTCATAGGGGGTGGGGAACAAAACAAAAAATCGTCATTTGTTAACACCCAAAGCAATTTTAATTAAACAGCATGCTAGATATAGAGTCATGGTAACTAATTTTATCTTCTTCCTTTCTATTACTTAATTTTGTAGCTTAAAGTGCTTTCGTATACTTCAGCAGGAACAATGGACTATGTATACATGCATCACCAAAGACAAAGATAAGGAAACAAAAATCAATCTAGAGTTTTAAATTCTTCTATTGCATTTTATGGGGTGAAAGCTGTGAATTGCTGTCAGTTAATTCTGACTCATGGCAATCCCATGCTTGTCAGAGTAGAACTGTGCTCCATAGGGTTTTCAATGGCTGGGATTTGGGGGGAGTAGATCACCAAGACTTTTTTGCAAGGCAACTTTGGGTGGACTCAAACCTCCAACCTTACAGTTAGCAGCAGACCACATTAACCATTTGAACCACCCAGGGACTCCAGTGGTATGATAAGCAGAGGAAAATTTGACCCATATCTGTGTATAAATAAATCATCCAAAGGAGACTAGGAATATTTGACCAAACAGCTACTTAAAGCTTTTTTTTTTTTTCCCTGTAAAAAAGAACATAACAATTTTCTTCCCAGTTTAATAGTGAGGTTTGCTCATCTTGTAACTTATGGAGCCTGCTAGATCTTAGTAAGAAAAGATGTCACAAAAGGGCTTCGCAGTAAAGATCAAAGCCTAATAGCCTCTGCTCCACTGTGAGCACATTTTCTTCCTTACTTGGCCTTTCTTGCATACTCCCCCATGACTCAGGTTCATTCGCTGTTTCTACTTCTACTTTGTCTCCAGCAGACATGACATTTTTGTGTTCTAGCTACTTAGTTGTGTATCTTTCTCAACAACCAAAGTCAAACTCCTCAAAGGCAGAGCTGAATTCATCTCAGCATTTTCTGTATTTAGAACATTAACATTTTTGACCTTTTATAATGAATGAATATTTCTAATCTCCATCCTCTGAAGTAGATAGCACATGTATTATCACCCCTTTTCCTTTTAGAATTTACTAAAGTGAGGCTCAAATTAAAGCGACTTGTTTCAAATCATATGGCTACTTAAATGTGGAGCTATGCACTGGGTTCTAGTTTGCTGGCTGTCTTAGTTTCTTGTTATTGTTGTTGTTATGTGCCATCGGACCCAACTCATAGCAACCCCTCCTTGGATTTCCAAGGCAGTATCACTGCGGAAGGAGATTGCCCCATCTGCCTTCCGAGGAGTAATGCTGCTATAACAGAAATACCACAAGTGAGCAGCCTTTATAAACATAATTTATTTTTTCAAAGGTTAGAAGGCTAGAAGTACAAATTCAGGGCACCAGGTCTAGGGGAAGTTTCTCTCTTTTAGCTTTGAGGGAAAATCCTTGTCTCAGCTTCTTGTGTTCTTCTCAGGGTTCCTTGGAGATCTTAATGTTGTATCGATCTTTCCCCCACCCATGCTTGCTTGCTTTGGTACCCAATCTGCCTTTTTATATCTCAAAATTGATTTGTTTAAAATACTACACTGAATTCATTAATATAACAAAGAAAACCCCATTCTAAATTGGATTACATCCACAGGTAAAGGGGTTAGGATTCCAATGCATATTTTGAGGGATACAATTCAATGCATAGCACTGGCTTTAAGGTAACTTACAATTCCTCCTAAACTAAAAAGTGTTAAACCAATGTACTTTTTTTCCACCTTAGGTTACTGTAAATAAAGAGTGAATGAACTATAAATTTGACAAATTAAAGTCTTTCCTTTGCCTTGATATAAAAGCATGTAAAGGACCCTGCTATATAACGGGCATCCCTGGTAAGTAAAAATGGTTAATGGGATTGGCTCGAAATTGAAATGTTGAAAGTTTGAGTCCATTCAGAGATACATCAGAAGAAAGGCTTGGTGATCTACTTCCAAAAAACTAGCCTTGAAAACTCAATGGAGCACAGCTCTACTCTGACACACATGGGGCTACTATGAGTTGGATTTGACTCCATGGCAACTGGTTTGATATTGTCTTGTTTTGTTGCTATTTAAGGGAGAGGCAAAACATGTGCTATCTATTTTCACTCTTAACTTTTTAATTAAAGATGCAAGAATATTTTTCTTCATCATTTGCAACTTTTTAGAAAATATTTTATTGTTCCAGAATTCATTTAATATCTCGCTCCCAACTACATTTTGAGTTTGTAATTTACTCCAGTATTAGCAGGATTGTATATCTCTTTTGATGTTTAAACATCAAAGATTTTAGTTCCAGAAGCTACCAAAATATCATCATGCTCAAATTTCTAGTAAAATAGCTCAAGAATTTGAGGTTCAAAGTTATTACTTGGTCATCAATAAAACTCATTCATTGCAACGTCAGGAACAAAATGCAAGTATTCTCACTATTATTACAGAAAATCTTACTCTGAGTGTTGTCTCAAATTCGGTTTGTGAATCAGTGATGGAGTGAATCAAGTGAGGAGCAAGAGAATATAAAGCAATTTCATATACATGATTCATTCACCTCTAATGGTATAGAATTTGGTCCTGGGAAGAAGGGACTAGGCCAATGCAGTAGCCCCACAGAACTGTGATAGCCCTACAACATCTCTTGATGTTAGAAGATTTACCTCTTTGAGTTCACTAGAATTAGGAGATAAACTGAAAAATAGGAAGAGGGCACATACATAACATTTATAAATGTCTTATCAGTGACAGGTACTATGCTGTGCACTTCACAGATCAATAAGAACAGAAGTGGAATCTGAATGCAGTACTTATTAGATGTTCCTCCCCTGATTTCCTGGAGAAGGATATCATGCTCGGTAAAGTGGAGCATCAAGAAAAGAGGGGAAGGCCCTTGATGAGATGGACTGACAGAGTGGCTGCAATGATGAGCTCAGGTATAGCAAGGATTGTAAGACTGGCACAGGACTAGGCAGTGTTTCCTTCTGTTGTACATAGGATTGCTATGAGTCAAAGCTGACTCAACAGCACCTAAAACAACAAACACATGATTCTGAAAAAGAGGCACTTATATACCAGATGGGAAAGTCCTTTGTGAACACATAGAAGCTCATAATTCCAACATGTGGTGTCAGAAAAGGTGTTATAGAGAATTGATGGACTGAGTAAGAATTTAGAAAGATACAGCAAGTAGAGATGAAGTTGTTTGTTCAGTTATTTAGCAAATATCAACTGATAACCTACAATGTGAGGGCACTTTCTAAGTGAGGAACGAGACCCTTGAACAACTCTGTTGAATATCCAACTCTTCTAAATTATAAGAGATACTTCTGACACACTGATTTTGAGGAGCCCTGGTGGTACAATGTTTAAATGCTCTGCTGCTAAATGAAAGGTTGAAGGTTAGAACTCACCAGCTACTTTGCAGGAAAAAAGGTCTGCTGCTCCAGTGAATATTATGGCCTAGGAAAGCCAACAGGGCAGTTCTACTCTCTTACATGGGGTTGCTATGAATCAGAATAGACTCTACAGCACACAACAACAACAACAACGTAATATAGTCAAATATTGTACTAATCACTTAACAAGTATGGACTCATTTAATTCTCACAAAAACTATGGTGTGGAGTAGAAAATTTAACTTTGCCTGAAAAGACATCTAGCCTTTGCTTTGTCTCCTGTGAGGTAATTTCTAAGCTCCTGGAATGTCCTTCCTTATAAATGTGTCTCTGTTTACCTAGAGGTCTTGAGCCACTAGAGAAAGTCTAATATTGTGATTTATGGTAGAAACTTTAAGTCACATGCTATCTGCTAAACCGCTAAAGGGCTGGAGACTGAGATAAGTCATGTAGATATTGTCCATATTTATATGACAGAGCCCCAGTAAAAACTGTAGACACCAATGCTTGGGTGAGCTTTCCTATTTGGCAAAACTCTGTGTGTATTGTCACATACAGCTTCCAGAAGAATAGTACTGTCTGTGATACCTTTGGGGGAAGACAAATGGAAATTTCACATTTGGAACTTTCTTAGAATTTGCCCTATACATCTCATTCCTTAGCTGATTTTAATCAGGGTGTTTTCACTGTAATAAAACATAACAGTGAGTATAACAGTTTCCAGTGAGTTCTGTGTGCAGAATTATTAAATGTGAGGGTAGTCATGGGGACATCTGAACTTAAAATTGGTGTCAGAAGTAAGCAAGGTCTTGTGCATTGCCTTCTAACCTCATATGAGCCAATTATTATTATCACCATCACCCTACAAATAGGGAAACTGAACCATAATAATGCTAAGCAAGCTGTCTAAGATCATAGAGCTAGTAAGTGGCAAAGACAGGTTCCACTCTATGGCAGTGATTTCACCTTGGCTGTAACTCAGTCACAGCCTGGACCAAGAAGCCCAAATCTCTGGGGTTGGAGACCAGGCATAATATGTTTTAAGGTTACCTGCTGATTCCACAATGCAGATAAATTTGATAATACCCTTCAAATCATTTACTTCAGGGCTCCATTAGTTCACTTGAAAGAAATTGTATGAAACTTAAAACGTCTGGCCTCAATATAAATAGTGGTGTTTTACAAAGAAGACTGAAACTATGTAACATGTTCTAACAAGACTGTCTTTGACCTTTGTGAGAATATATGTTATGATTGTTTGAGAAAATGTTCAGGAACTTCTGGTTCTAAAAAAGTACTTAGGTTTGTTATAAAACACATAGTTTTAAATGGTATTCCTGTGGGTTTTTTTTTTTTTTTTATCACTCCGTATGCATATTTAGCTGTGCTTTAAAAATAAATGATTCATTTACACTGAGAATACGAATTATCTACTGAAACTATGAAAAGATGCAAATACAATTTTATAAAAATTTATCTTCAACTACAGGATCTAAACAACAGAAGATAATTACAGGCATGTTATTAAGATTTCATTTTCAAGCATCAGACTTATATGTCACTATTTGAGAAAAGAAAGAATAATAAAGCTGAATAAATTTCCAGAAGTTGTCCCCACTAGTATTTGTCATATTTTTATGGGATATCTAAGTAAACTGAAATTAATACCTGATGAAATTTCGTGGATATTTAAGGAAAAAAAGTAATTTTGTTTTCAACATAGTTTAATTTTTATGCATTTACTGTTACTAGTGTTATTTTATCTGCTTCATTTAATTCAACCCAAAGAAGGGCTTTTCATAACTGACATTGACCATATGTCACTTGCAGAAGCTTATAGTTGCAAATTCACAACCGCATGCAGAATTAATCACAGGCATTTTGAAGACTCTGAAAGGAGTCTCTTGATATGGATTTGGAAATGAGTTCAGGGATAATTGCGTGGAAGCTAATTGTAAATTACAAAATACTCTGGTGTAGACAGAGGCATTTTAGCCCCAAATTCAGCAAATGTAAATTCTTGTCTGGAGTAACTCTTTAACTAGATTACTTTGGTCATATTATTTAACATTTTTCAGTCAATTTCTTTATTTAAATTATTAAAGAGTTGTACAAAATTATTTCTAATCTCAGCTGGATAGTTCCATGAGAATTTCATATAAATTTAATAGTGAGCTAACAGTTCATCTATATGTTGAAGGCATGTATTCCCTGGCCTAATGAGGATTACTTACCATGTTTGTTTTGCTATGTCAAACTGATAGGCCCTTGTCAACTCATCCAGATGAGCCTGCAGCATGGGTTGCATCTCTTCTCTTGGGGATGGAGTAAGAGTTGCAGTGGACTGCTGTCCAAAGGAGATAGCAGGAGAAGAAGCCACTCCTCGAACAGGAGGTGTTGGGACCCGGTCATCGTCTTCCTCCAGTTCATCTTCCATACCCTGGTGCAAGTATGTTTGTACTGGTAAAGGTGGGCACCAGCTATCACTGTCATAGCTGAAAGTAAATTAAAAAAAAAAAAAAAGAGAGCACATTGACATGTACACATACACACAATTATACTGACTATAAAAGCCATATAGTATCCAAAATGTTCTCTCAGTTTATTTCCTCCTGATCTTGTTGTTAACTATAGTAAACCACATGACTGTTATCTTAATTTCTAATCGTAACCACATCTGTTATCTATCTCTGTGTCTCAATTTATTCTAAAAAGACCTGATTAGCTAATTATTACACCACAGTTACAAAAGGCAATACAATTTCCAACAAAGTTATTAATGTGGAAAAAATAAATTGCTAATTAAAGACGACTAATGAATTCAGTGCTTGTATATTTAAACCTTTTCTTGCACAGTCTATCCTTGTGAATGAAAAGAATATGCCAATAGAGATGACTGATTATCTAAAAAATTTTTAAGATTTTTATTTACTCTTATTCTAGATCTATCCTCTATCACTCTATATATCAGTCATTGTGATTTTGTGATAAAAATATATTCAATATAATTTTGATTCTCTTAATAGTCTCTTAGAAACTAATGATTCCTTTTATTGCAACATCTAAATTCAAATCTACAAAACAGAAATTCAAACCTCTTTCTATAAAATGTATTTTTAAAAAAAGTAACAGTTTAAAATTGGACATTCTAACTTTTAGAGATTTTGCCCTAAGAATATTGAATATTAATTCAAAAAGTATTTATTATAATGAAAAACAGTAGCATTTCCTTTTATATTGTCTTTGGAGTACTTTAGTTTTAGAAATCAAATAGATCTTAAAATATTTTACTCAGTGACTTGAGGATAAGATAAACAATATTATTGAATATAATTATCCTATAAATTCAACCTCTTTAATATCTCCTGAATTCATTACCTACACGTTATCGTTACTTCCACCATCACAGATCAGTCTCATGTGAACAAGCTCACTAGCTTTCCTGGTCTCTCAGGATGTCATAAGCACCTCTTGCATTCTATCCTCCATAAAGGCAGCAGGATTATTTTTCTGAAATTTTCATCATATCACAGCTATGCTTAAAATACTCAGTGATTCTCACTAAGAAAAAAATCCAAACTCATTAACTGGACATAGAAAACCCTTCTCCATCCGACTAGCCTATATTTCTAGCTTCATTTCCCAGACATCAACAACTCTCCATTTGTTGTTAGGGCCTTCATATGGTTGTCCACAAATCATCTGCATGTGAGCTTCTGCTCTTACTTCAAGGCTTAGTTCAGATATCATTATTTTTGGGAAACCTTTCTCCCACTTCTATAAGAAATTGATCCCAATTCCAAAACACTTTTTTGTGCCACTTCTCATATTATATTAGAATCATTTGTTTCTGTCTCTATTTCCCTGCTACTACTCTGTGAGATCTTTAAACTTAAGAACTCTAAATTCTCAGTAACTATTGTGTCTGTGTCTGACACAAGAAAGGTATTTAACAAGGAAACTGAAAATACAATAAATATGTATGTATATACTTCGTCTTGCTCTCACTTACAAAAACTTGTTGTTGGTGCTGTTGCACTCAAAGTGCTGTTGACTTGGCTCCAAGTCACAGTGACCCCATGTAATGAAACACTGCCCAGTGCTGTGCCATCTTAACAATCATTTCTATGTTTGAGGCCACTGTTGCATCTCACTGAGTGTCTTCCTTTTTTTCACTGTCTTTCTAATTTACCAGAAATAATGTCTTTCTCCAGGGACTAGGCCCTCATTGATAACATGTTCAGGGTACATTAGACCAAGTTCCGCCATCTTCACTTCTAAGGAGCATTCTGGCTGTATGTCTTTCAAGACAGATTTGTTCATTCTTCTTATAGCTCAGGGAGGGTCCATTCAATATTCTTTGCTCACACTCTAATTCAAAGGCATCAATTCTTCTTCAGATTTACTTATTCATTGTCCAGCTTTCACATGCATATGAAGTAATTGAAAATACTATGGCTTGGGTCAGGTGCACTTTAGTCCTCAAAGTGGCATCTTTGCTTTTTAACACTTTAAAGAGGTCTTTTGCAGCAGATTTGCCTAATGTAATAGGTCATTTGATTTCTTGACTGCTGCTGCCCTGAGGGTCAATTATGGAGCCAAATAAAATTAAATCCTTGACAACGTCAATATTTTCTGTTTATCATGATGTTGTTTATTGGTCTAGTTGTGAGGATTTTTGTTTTCTTTCTGTTGAAGTGTAATACATACTGAATGCTGTAGTTTTTGACCTTCATCGCGAAGTGCTTCAAATCCTCTTTGCTTTCAGCAAGGAAGGTTGTGTCATCTGCATATCACAGGTTGGTAATGGCTCTTCCTCCAATTCTGATGCTGCATTCTTTATTATATTGGAGCTCTGGTGGCATAGTGCCTAAGGCATTTGACTGCTAACCAGAAGGCTGGAGGTTCAAACCCACCAGCCACTCCTTGGAAAGAAGGTTGGGTAATATACTTCTGTAGTGATACCGTCTCTGAAACCCAAGGAGGGGTCGCTAAGAGTTGGATCCAACTCAACAGCAGTCCAGCTTTTCCGATTATTTGCTCAGCCTACAATATGGTGAGCTCTGGTAGCATAGTGGCTAAAGCACTTGACTGCTAACCAGAAGGCTGGCGGTTCAAATCCACCAGCCACTCCTCGGAAGGAAGGTTGGGCAATCCTACTTCCGTAGTGATACTGCCTCGGAAACCCAAGGAGGGGTCGCTATGAGTCGTGGCCGACTCGACGGCACATAACAACAACAACAACAACAATATGGTGAAAGGATACATACGTTCTTCCTGGTTTTAAACATGTAGTATTGTCCTTTCTGTTTGAACTGCCATCTCTTAGTCTATATACAGTTTCTGTCTGCATGAGCACAACTAAGTGTTCTGGAATCCCCCTTCTTTGCAATAATATCTGTCATGATCTACATGGTTGAATGCTTTTGTATAGTCAATAAAACACAGGTAAACATCTTTCAGGTATGTCTGCTTTCAGCTAAGATCCATTTGAAATCAGCAATGATTTCCCTTATTCCATATCCTCTTCTGAATCCAGTTTGAATTTCTGGCAGTTTCTTGTTAATGTACTGCTACAACCACTTTTTAACTATCTTCAGCAAAATTTTACTTGCATGTGATATAATGATATAGTTTGATAATTTCCACATTTTATAAGATCACCTTTCTTTGAAATGGGTACAAAATGACCAACATCAAGTTGTAAATTTCCAAATGATTCCCAGATATTTTCTGATGAGTGTTGTTTCACTTTTCCTGTACAAAACTGAGTTTATCATCTATTTATTTGACAGTCATGTAACAGACAAGAAGATGTATTTCACAGAGTGTATATTCCAGTGCAGGCAGACTGAGATTAAACAAATAATTTACACAACAGAGTCTTATGTGAGTAGACCCACATACCATTGGGTGATGCAAATGTTTAACATGCTTGGCTGCTGACCATAATGTTGGAAGTTCAAGTCTATTTAGAGGCACTTCAGAAGAAAAGCCTAGTGTTCTATTTCTGAAAAACCAGGCATTGAAGACCTCATGGAACACAATTCTACTCTGACACACATTGGGTCACATGTGAGTCAGGGTTGATTGGTTGACAAATAACAAGAAGTGTTAAATTAATTCTAAAGTCTCCTTTAGAAAAGGGGATGTTTTAAATAGAACATGAAGAAGAAGAGGAATGTGAATTTCTTGCTGACAAGTGCAGGAACCAGAAGAAGAAAGTTAGGCATAGATGAAACAGGAGAAGTAAAGATGGGTAATCACAGAGAGACTCATCAGTTCTGAGAAAGTTTGAATTTGGCACATGGGTGATGTATCAATAGTCACTGATAAAAGAATATAAGAAATGATATATTTCACCATATGTCAAAATAATCCTTGACAGTTCAGTCTCCCTGGACCCCTAAACTCATTTCACCAGATTCCAAATGTTCTTCCTTCAAAGATAAGTTTACCTTTAACTTCATTCTTTTCATTTTCCAGTGACTTTTTCCTTCTTGATGAGGCTATCTGAATGAACTTCTAACTTACTGAGTTACAAACCAAAGTGTTTCAGAAGTATTGCACAGTTTGATAGAAATATTTCTTCTTAAATACCATTTATATTACAGTCAAACAATAGGTACACTTCAATGCATTACAAATAATATTTATATACTAGAAAATAATATTTGTTACATTTATTCCCATTAAATGACTACACTACTATCAATCAACTGAAAAAAATATTGTCCAAAAAGAACACCATCTTGAACAGTTTCATGTGCTAGAGATCACAGTCAGATTTCATTTGAAAAAAAAGTTCTGTTTCTTAAACCTTTTGCAACCCACCGTACAAGTTGCTTTTTTTTTTTTTGCATTTATTTATTTTTTATCCATCTTTAATAAATTCTGCACATTAATTATAAATTTATCTATTGAAATATCAGTATTGTCCAAACAAAAACATTTACTAATTTTCACTTTATCCTTTCTATTACCAAGAGAATCCTCAAGTTAAGTTATGAGATGTTTTTAACTGTTCCTCAACAGAATCTCTTGCTCATAATAAATTGGTCTGTTTTCTTCTTTGAATTTTTTGTATTTTCTTTATATTTTCCTTCTTGGTGTATTAGTTTATAGAATTCAACCTATTGCAAACAAGGTGCACCTAATTCTACCTATCTTAATCTTACAAATTCTCAAGCTATAGTTAAATCACATACCTTTATTTATAAAGATTTCACTGACAAGGCTAACCAGTGATGATATATTACTCTCCTGAAGTTATATTGACAATATTTTGCACATTTATTTAAAAATTGATTATTAGATACTGTCTTATATGATTTTCAATTGTTGCTTTCTTCTAACTGTTGGCAAGTATATTTTAGTTTTTATCTGTTTACATACTTATAGTATTTTTTCCTTAATTGATTATTTAAGCTACATTACAATTGGGGTATTGTACTATTCCTTTTTTTTTTTTTAACCACATGTAACATAGTATGTA